AGATTGATTACTCCTGTGAGTTTCATGACAACAGGCCTATCGGTTTTCTTTGAAATGTGTTAACAGTGTTGCATATATGCTGAAAAGTAAAAAAACAGCATAAATTCTACAATAAAGGCCCGATCATGCTGATTTTCAAACTTGACCTGTGTTTTATGAATATTCATCAGCTCTGTAAATATAAAGCCAAAAAGTAAAACTGTCTTCCACTTATGGAGTTAACGCTGAAAGTGCACGGCGACGGCGACGGCGACGGCGACATGGACGGCGACATGAACGGCGACGACAGACGCAGGTGATGGCAATATGTACAGACACATCTGTGTCTGTACATAAAAAGTCACATAAAATATATAGAAACACATAACCTGGCAAGTAGTCATAATTCCATTATGTTTATCTTTTTCACAGTGATTCATAACATTGATATATCAATATTACACCAGATGTAAAAATTTTTGGAAACACAAAGATGCCAATAAAAAATATTATTGGTATTTCAACAATTTTCTTACATTTTATGTACAGACACAGATGTGTTTGAAAAAAAAAAAAACATTTCAGAACAGTGCTGTCTTGTTTACATTTTGGCATTTCCAAGTTGTGACTTTGAAGTTCCATGGGCCTGAAGACCTTTACTAGTCACATATCTGAATATACATGATACTTATATTTATTATTAAAAATTGATGGTCATTATCAGTGTATGAAATGGCCGCCAGCCCAAGGCTGGTAACTTTCAGGCCGGGCGGGTAAGATTTGCAAATTACCCGCCCGACGGGCTGGCTAATTTTGCAGCCTAGACCTATTTAACCTTTTATTTTGTCCATTTTCATAAGCGATTTCAGCAAAATATCAAATCAACTCACTGTTTGTCCCGCTTCCATACAAGCAAATCTAAAACTGACCATCATATAGAAAGCCCGAATCTAAAAACAATGTCTCCCCTTCTGTTGCCTCGTTTTCGAGATCCTGTCTGCTTGATATGAAGTTGAAAGACAATTTGAAACGAGGCATATTGTTGTACTTAGAAACCAGCTCAGTGCACAGATAAGCGTAACGTCATTGTTTTGTGTAGAGGAGATACCGCGAGTAGCAATTTGTAGATTGAAAGTAATAAAAATGTGAAAGTACGAAAAAAGTTATGATATTGATTATTTATAGACATACTAGTACACGCAGTGTTTATGATAAACAGTAATAAAGACAATGGAAGCAAATTTAAGGAGAATTTTACATCAATTTTAAATCCCAAAATCATGAGTGAACATACGAGTTTACGTCTTGCGTCAGCTGTAGTTTTTTCCCGCGTGGTTTTATCTTCATCAGTGGGCTGTCATATATGGAAAAGTTTCTTCTTCTTAAGTCAGATAGAGACGTTGACAAAAGAAAAAAGACTAAAGAAGAAACACATCAAAATAACAAGGATTAGGAGAAAACGAAACGCATAAGAACAATTCAAAACTCGTGGAAAACGGACTTCGATTGGCTAATTTGCAACAACTTGGACGGCAACATATTTTGTAAAACGTGCAGGGCTGTGTGTGGCCCATTATCTCGCAGGACAGTTCCCGACCGCTTCAGGCGCTACTCAAAAGGACCCTTTGTGCTGGGATGTGCCAATTTGAAGAGGGAAGCTCTGTCCACTCACCAGGGCAGCCAGGGCCATAAAGATGCGAAGACATACCTTGCCAGCCAAAAAGAACGAAATGCTTCACCTGCTTCTAAAAGCTTACAGCTTTTGAACAGGGCAGCTTTTGAAAAACTTAATCTCTTCAAAAATGCCCATGCAGTGGCGAAAAAATGTCGCCCAATCAGCGACTTCGTTTGGGTGAATGAACTTGACATAAGCAAGGGTGTTTCAACATCAGAGACGTACAGAAATGTCCATAGTTGCAAAGAATTTATGGTTGCAATCTGTGAAGTTGAGAGGAAAAAAATTGAGCAAAAGCTGGCAGATGCTAAATTTTGTACCATTACGTCAGATGGTTCTATGGATGTGTCCGTGATTGAGAATGAAATTGTTTATTGTCACTTTGCTGTCAAGGGAGTAGTTTATTGCTTCTTTCTTGGTCTCATTGAATGTGAATCTGGGGATGCAAAAGGAGTGTATGCTGCCATATGTAAAGCTATGAAATTTGATACCCTGCCCGTGGAAGATTTTACAAAGAAACTTGTAGCCTTTGCAGGTGACGGAGCATCTGTTAACACTGGAGCTTTGAATGGAGTTATTGCACTCATGCAGCAAGACATTGGGAGGCACATGGTGATGATCAGGTGTATGTCTCACAGAACTGAATTATCGTTTAAAGAGGCAATGAAGAACAGCACACTTTTTACGAAAGTCAATAAACTGCTTGATGAACTGTTCAAATTCTACCATAAAAGCCCTAAGCAGCGCAATGGATTGAAGCAAGTATTCGAGGCCAGCAAGATGGATCAGTTGTTACCAACCAGGGTCGGAGGCACACGCTGGGTCAGCCACACTCAGTTAGCTGTACAAAACATGCTGCGCTCATACAAAGCTCTTGTCACGCACCTTGAGCAGGTAGGTTTTAAACAATTTAAATTTCTAAAGAAAAAAAAATTTTAATGTTCAACTTCAAATTTGAAAGTAATAACAGAAACATAATAATATGAAAAAATTATCTCAGTTGTGTGAAATGTGCATATATATAGGAACCCATGAACTTGAGTTATTTGATGAAGACTTCTTTATTTCATGGCATAAGTACATGAGGTAAACTTAAGTATAATGAAACATCTCCTGATTTAGGTTACCAAGTATCTTGTCTTCCTCTTCAAACAGGTTGCAATCACTCCCAGTGCCTCAAGTGCCCAATCAAAAGCCAAGTTCCTTGTGAACCAGCTAAAAGACCGTGATAATATGGAGTATGCTCATTTTCTGGTTGACTTATTGGCTGTAGTTTGCAAGCTCTCTTTGACACTTCAGAAACGGGAAACATGTGTCTATCAAGTTCACAAGGAGATGAAGACCACAATAACAAACATCAAGAAGTTTGAAACAAGGTAAATAAAATTGGTTTTTAATTTTCAATTTGTTATATATTCTGGTCTGGAAAAAATCCTCTGTATTTTTGAGGCGAATCAAGAAATTTGAAGAAATGAAGGTAAAAAACTAATATCCTTTTGCCGTATTACACATAGTATTAATAATGCAAATATGATGGTCAGCTAGTTTTTCAGAATGTAAGCAAAGGATTCCACCATGTTTTCTTTTTGAGTATAATTTTTAAATATTTTCAGAGCCGGTTCTGAGCAGAGAAACTTTAAAGATGTTAATGTTAGTACAAAGACATTAAAGGGCATGACTTTGGTTGGGGGATCTAGTAAACCAGATGACCAGAGAAAAAGTGTTGTGCCAAAACTTGTTGATGTTATTGGCAAGAGATATGAGGAATTGGACTCTGGGCTCTTGTCAGCAACCAAAATTGCGGAATTTAGCTGTTGGCCTCTAACTCAAGAAAATGAAACAGGTTTGACTGTTTTTTTAATTTAGTTTAAGTGCCAATCCACATGCCCTGCTGTTTGAATTACAGCAATCCTTTATTCCCTTTCAACCTTTGAGATTGCAATAAATAGTGCACTGGAAAGCTTAGAATATTACAAGAGTTCATTGACAATAATTTTACTGCATTCCTGGGAATGTTATGTTTTGAATATGAGTCAAATTTTCTTTAAAATTGACTATTCCAATTTGTAGTGAAGCCTGCTTTAATGCTATCTAGCTTATTATAAGTTTGCTTTTTATATGTACTTAGACTTTGGTGAGGACCATGTAACTCTGGTAATAGACCACTATCGACAAGTTTTGGAGAACCAAGGTGTCAGCATTAGTGAGATTGAAGCTGAGTGGGGAATATTGAAAGAGAATATATATAGCAAGTAAGTATTATAAAGAAACTGTAGGTAATGTTAATATCACACCAACAGCAATAGTTTATTAAGTCAATAACTTTTAAGTTACAGATTTCATAATATGTCTTGAATAAAATAAAGAATACTTAACTTCATGTACAATTATAGCAGATAAGCAAATGTGTTATTAAATGATTGTTATTATCCTTCTAAAATAATGATAAATAATAAAACTCACAGCAAAATTGCACTTTTCTATTCATGCAATTTTTTTCAATGCAGTGGTAGTGCTAACATTACACAGGTAATTTTGTTTTATTTCAGCCACAAAGATGTGCATTCCTTGACCTGGAAGTTGGTAAATAGTTTGTATGTTGCCAAATGTCCAAATATATTAGCAGTGGTTGATCTTTTGTTGTCCCTGCCAGCTGGATCTTCTGAGTGTGAGAGGGGGTTTTCAGTCATGAAGAACATAAAGACAGACAACAGAAATAGACTAAGATCAACAACTATGACTCTGCTCATGACCATACAAATGCACTCTGCAGATATCTCCTCATTTGATCCAACAGAAGCAATTCACCATTGGTATGAGAACAAACACAGGAGACCATATTTCATGAACCCCAGGGTAAAAAAATCATCTACAACTACAAGGTCAAAGACAGTTGCTGCTGCTGTTATTGAAGAAGAAGCAAATGCAAATTAATGCGGTTGCAACTTCAGAAGTCATACCACCTGAAACAAATGGTGCTCCAGTGGCTGACTTAGATTCTGACTACGAGTCAGATTTCAGTGATCTTGACATAGAGAATGGACATGACTCTTTGTCAGAATAATTAAGTTGATTTGGTCAATATTTTACATAATTGCAAGCAATTCCTTAAATGGGCTGAGCATGTGTGAATGTGGAAAGGAATTCTTCATCACTTCCTGTAAGTTGGTCTGTGACAGTTAATGATTATGAAGATTTGGAAAAAAGGAAACCCAAAAGTTGGAATGTGGACACTGGAAAAAGGTTTATTTTAATTGTTTGTTTGTTTTAAGATGGTAACAAGAATTCTCTCTTCATTGCCAGCAAAGAGTTCAATTTATTTGACTAGAATATCTGCATAGGTCATACTTGTTGCTGTGCAGAAAATTAAAACTTATTATCAAATGAAATCATAAATAAAAGTTATGAATGAATTATTAGTAAGAGTTATTTCCTCCACAGTTATTTCCTCCACCAAGTGTTTTTTTTTAATCATTTTCAAATTGCAATCCGAAGATTGCATTCTACATGTACAGAGAGACCCCCTCAGCATACCTCTCTTAACTCTTAGGGTAATCATAACTGGGGCAGGTAACTACCTGGCTGGGCTGGTAACTTTTCAGAGTTACCTGCCCGGCGGTCTGGCTAGTAATTTCCTTGAATTTCATACACTGCATATATGCTGAAAAAAATGTAAAAAACAGCATAACTTCCATAAAAGTGGCTCTATCATGCTGATTTTCGAACTTGACCTGCGTATTATAAATACTCATCAGTTCTGTAAGTTTCAAACCAAAAGGTATAACTGTTTTCCACTTATCGTGTTTACGGTGTTGCATATATGCTGAAAAAAGTGAAAAAAAAAGCATAACTTCCCTACAAATAGCCCGATCATGCTGATTTTCGAACTTGACCGGTGTATTATGAATATTCATCAGTTTTGTAACTTTCAAGCCAAAAGGTAAAACGGTTTTTCACTTATCGTGTTTACGGTTAAAGTGCACGCCAACGGCGACGGCCCTGGCGACAGCGACGGCGACGACAGACGCAGATGACGGCTATATGTACAGACACATCTGTGTCTGTACAGACCACACCTACTGAGATCACACGCACACACCGACTTTACTTGAGAAGGACAGGAGAAGGACATGACTCTCTTTATAAGATATAGACTCCACAATTTATGTAAGTGTATTTGTTTTAATTTATGAGAATCATTGTTTTACATTATACTTTTGAATATATTATATTGTATTTTTATTTTTATTTTAGTGACCAGCTATCGGCTATCAACTATCAGCTTATCAGTAATTTTGAATAAACTGAAAATAAAGCCAACCGTGTACAAAAAGGAGTTCTGTTCTTTCTAACCCAAAACAGTAGGATATGATTCAAGTATTAAACTTTTCAATTTCTACCATGTGAATAAGGCCCTGAAGAGGTGTAAGTATCCCAGCTGGGCTCTAAGGAAGGTACTGAACAATGTTGGAGCTGATAAGGAGTCAACACCTGAGGATGACGAGAGAAGACAAGATAAGCCCAAAACCAGTATAGTGATCCCATACATGAAAGGGAGATCAGAACAGCTGAAACGAATTTATACAAAACACAAAGCGAATGTTTGCTTTAGACCTCAAAGAATACTCAAACAGATTCTTTGTCATCCTAAAGATAAGACTGACAAAAAGGGAAGTTTGGCGTAGTCAAACGTTTATTTATGGCGACGGTCTGATTCTTCACAAGTTTGCAAGTAGCCTCGGATTCAATGCTACACAAGTTGTTAACATTTTTGCTCTAGCCTCGGATTCAATGCTGCATCTATTGCGATCAGACTCCCTGTCCAATCACTGACGTTTATTATGGCATAACTTGCCGAAAATTTGCATAAGCCTCGGATTCAACGCTGCATCTTTTGATCGACGGGGGTTTCACTTAGGTTCGCGCCTCAGCGTTTAACCAAATGAGCGTTACTATTCCTTCCCACTCTGCTTTATACAAGGTTCTATAGTGTATGCAATTGTCAGAATAATTTTACGTTCGCCATCTTCAATTTAAACTGTATTAACAGTTACGGATTCACAGATATTTCAAGTCGGGACTTTTGGCGAACCTGCTGATAGATCGACGCATCTCCGGCTTTCCCACGAACAGAACTCCAATTTGCTACAAGTAAGTTTTTTCTTTATTTGAGTTATTGATTTTGCGAATTATAGTAGCATGGCTGTTCTTGTCATTGGGCATTCTTTTGTACACAGGTTCAATCTTACCTCGACCAAGGTCGGGACGACCGCACGGCGAAAGACTTTGGATTCCCGAATCAGTTCACTGGCACGGAATAGGTGGCCGTACGGTCCCTAAACTGGTCAGATACTGGAAGGATTTGGGCATCCTTCGCCGGGTCCGCCCGGTTAGTGGCGCAATTTACCATATAAGGTGCCAGGGTAACAAGAACTGTGAATGTGAGAAAGACTACATCGGGGAAACGGAAAGAACTTTAAAATCTAGAGTGATGGAACATAAAAGACGGAGCCTCACCACCACGGAGGTTTCTAGGCACATTCATGTAGATTATCCAGGACATGAAATCCCGTGGGAGACAGCAAAGATCTTGGACAGGGACCCTTCTTGGTGTGAAAGGGGGGTAAAGGTGGTCATTTACATCAGGGCACATATTAACCCAAGCTTGAACAGAGATGGGGGGAGGCACCAACTGTCACATATTTGAGACAACGCAATCACCAAAGCACTGGTGAGCAGTGATCGTCCCATATGACATCACACTGAAGAAGATCATGAATGTGATCAAAAGCTCTGTTAGATATAGCTCTATTTTTTAGTGTAGAAATTGAAAAGTTTAATACTTGAATCATGACTTCCTTTTTTGCCTATTTGCTTCAAATAATGTTAACGCAGTTATTTGAGAATGTTGGTATAACCACATATCCTTATCATCATACCAAGTATAGCTGATCAAGAGATAACCCTTAGCAAAATGAAAAGTGTGCAGCACATGTGCTGCAAATGTACCGCACATATGCGGCACACTCTAGAGTGTGCAGCAGACAGCTTTGGGGAGTGTGCAGAAGTGTGCAATAAAAATTCTTTCTTGCTGCACACCTACTGCACACTTCCATAAGTACAGATAGTGTGCAGAAAGTATGCAAGAGACTTGGTATTTCAATAGAAGCATGCGGAGAGTGTGCGATGACCTTAAAATTTGATCAAGAGTGTGCAACAAGTGTGCAGAAAATGTAATTTTTCTGTCAGGAGTGTGCAGAAAATGTGCAAGACACTTGGTTTTTCAACAGACATGTGCAGAAAGCGTGCAATAAACTTACAATTTGATCAGAAGTTTGCCAGAAGTATGCAGAAAACTTAATTTTTTTCGTCAGGAGTGTGCAACAAGTGTACAGGAAACTTAGAAAATTTAAGTTGTGTGAGTTGAGTGTACAGCAAGCTTTTAATTTTATCGGGGTATGCTATTTTAGAGTAAAAACCTTATCATTTGATTATTTAATATGTACCAATACAAGATACATGAACATGCACTGCCATTGACAATTACACAAACAAAATACTTCAATACTCATTCTAATTTATATCCATCAATTAGAAATAATCAATGCTTATATAAAATTTTAATTATTATCATATATAAGTGGCAAGTACACTATGATAAATAATACACTATTGTGAGCTACATGTATAGTGGGTATTTATGCTGCAGGCCAGAGAAAAATCCAGCCAAATTAGTCCAACAAACAAATCAATAACATTACGTAAAGCTAGTTATAAATTGCATTGTTGTAACAAACTCTGGTGTTTATCTCACTCAAAGTAAGAGAATAAGTCAAGGGCAATATAAGTTTAACAACATCTAATAGAAAAATGCCTAATCATACCTTTAAACCCATTCACTAAATCACAACTTTTGCAATGCTATGCCCGCTTTAAAAAAAGATTATTATCAGTCATGAAATCTAGGGTTGTGGTAAATTAAACATGGCTCCTACTAGTATAATCTTGACTTGGCTAGTTAATTTAAAGATAAAAACACAGTATATAATGTATTTTTACTATTTTTATGATGATATTCACTAACTTCATATTTCTTCTATTATATTGAAAGTCAACCTTATCTATTCAGATTTTAATCTTGCTTAAAGTCAGATTTTACTTGACCTAGCTTGGCTGTTTTAAAAAGTGAAATTTCAATCCTGCCATTCCTGCCTAATATATATAATGTAATGTAAAAGTAAGTGAACATAAAGGGTATAGTACTCATAAAGGGTGGGAAACGAGGACAAATTAATATTTTTAAAGATACATTTTATTATAAATCATGCTCAATCACACTTTAAGCCTAAGGTTTAACAGTCAACTGATGTTAGAGAATGCCCTACTCCACCAACCACAGATTCAACAACTGTGAATTTCTTTTGTTAACCTGGCACCTATTATTAGGTCACTATTCCTGTAGCTATTGTTACACCAATTACAACAACCACCTATTTGGTGTTATCAGATGTGTGGTATCCTGTCTAAGTCTTTGTTTATATGAGACAAATGCAAGCAGCAAATGAGTGAAGGCTGTATACTATCAAGTCAGTTTAAATTCAGGAGCATAGTGGAAGAGTACAGAGTATAGAAAAATTGGATTGAGGAAGGTATGTATTACAGTAATTCATTGGATCATTTGGGCATCTAATCAAATTGAAAATTGATCTAATTTGTAGTGTACATTGTAAACATTATGTCTATATTACATAAAATAAGTTATAATTTATAATTTCCCTTTTAGCCAACAAAGAAACGGTGTTACAGAATGAAATCACTGTTTGGTCTCTTCATTTCTTATTAAACTATGATCAATTGCGCGCAAAAATGTTTCTTCAAATGCAGTTGAATCTCAAAAAAATTTTAAAAAAACATTTACATTTCATTTAATTTTTGGTTTGTGGTTTATTGAATATTATCTATATAATTTTATCTGTCTCTTACTGTGTTACTTGAACTAATGGATATTTGTTAATTGTTTATTCCAAGTGATCTTAGAGAGTAGACAACATACAGAACCTGGCATGACAAGACTGGAAGGGACACTCTGCTGTGAATATCTATAGTTGGTGGCTCATCGAAACACTCACAAAGTGTACCAAAATTCTAGTACCTTTGTGATAAAGAAGTTACTAGAGAGTTTTTTCAGCCCACAAGAACTGTCAGCAACAGTTTCTTTTGTGAAGGATTCTCTAGTTGAAAGAGCTGTGCAGAGTAAGTTTTAAAAGAGAACAACACTAACTGCAAGTTGATTATATCATTAAACAATACTTAAAATTTTGTTGAGAATAAGTGAATAAGTGAATGCAGCCATAAACCATAAGATTTCAACATAACATAGATGCGTGAAGAATGCATATAAAGTATTCTTCAAAGCAGTTTTAGCACTTCATATTTTTTTAATATCCAAGACATTTTTTCTGCCTACCTTTCTCCCTTTTCTTTATATGAACAATAAACACTTGAACTTGACTTTAGGACTTATCAAACAGTAATGTGTATATTGATGTTTTTTGTCCTCCACATGGATTTGAATGTTAAGCATTGTGCACAGTGTGGTGAATTTGTAGGACTTAATGGTATACTCTTTTTTTAGATGGACGGAGCAGGACAGGATGAGTAAAGAAGAGAAATTTGGCAGAAAGATGTAAAGAAGAGAAATATGGACATGGCTTGGATTTTGATGATTTTGTTCGATTTTTTAATTTGATTAATAAAGCACAATATATGACTGTAATTTCTTGTTTGTTGTTGATAAACAGATTTAACAATATTTCTGTTGGCACATGTCTTTTAATGTAACTCAGAACCTGTCTTTGTAGAATTAATATAAACTGATTGAAAAACAAGTGAATAAAATTTAAATTGTGTTATATAATATTTTAATTAGTGTGTAGGAAGTGTGCAAGAAGGTATGCAAAAAGTACGCAGGAGATAAGCAAGAAGTGCACAAGAGGTGTGCAAAAAGTACGCAGGAGGTGTGCAAGAAGTATGCAGGAAATGTGCAAGATGTGCGCGGGAGGTATGCAAAAAGTACGCAGAAGGTGTGCAAGAAGTATGCAGGAGGTATGCAAGAAGTGTGCTGGTTGTGGTGTTGGGGGTGTGCAGGAAGTGTGCATCAGATATGCAAGGAGTGTGCGGGAGGTGCGTATTTTACCATGCAAATGAGGCGTGCTGCGCATCCGCAGATACCCTTACTGTGAATCTGCTGCGCATCCGCAGAAACAATGTGCGGGAAGCCTAAAATTTTGCTAAGGGAAGATCCTGCACAACCATCTTTCATAAAATTAGAATTTTCTTTTGTGATTGATTTTACAGCATTTGACTATTGTTGTTCTTGGCTTTGGCTCTATTCTGGCATATGAGAAAAACCACAATTAGATCAGCATGACAACAAATGAAACAGTGTAAATACACAGACTAACAGCAGTTAGTTAACCATGAAAGAGCAAAGGATACACGTTAAGTCTAAGTCTAAACCATTATCCTGATTTCTTCTTTTCTTTTTTAACCCTTTCTAATGCCATGATGTGATTTCATGTTGGTGCCCATATCTGCAGATTTGTTTGTGAACTTTTTAACATGTGGAAAGATTTGGACATGTGAGTTGGTTCAGAAAGGTATATTCATACATTTTACCAAAAGGCTATAACTTAATATAATATATACAATAATGCTGGGCTGATCTATTATATACAGAATAAATACAGTATTTAAAGAAATATTATACAGCTGGTAGACATATATACTTTGAACATTTTAGACTGCCAGACATAGAGAATTGAAAGGTGTAAATGCTGATCAAGATTATGTCCAGCTGAGCAGACAAGGTATCTACTGACAAGATGGAAGGATGGAGAAGGATTACATGACCACATCAGATCAGGAAAGCCCACTAAGTTCACAGACCTTCATAAGACGGTCATTGATGACAAGATGACCAGGAATAAGGACCTGGTTGCCAAAGACTTGAAAGAAATTATCAAAGAACGTACAGGTGAAAAAAACACCACTTTCAAATAAATTTGTATATATCAAGAAAAAATTTTATAACTGAAAGTTCATATAACTCCTGCTCTTTTTCGTTCACTTTTAACAGGTCTGCTTGTGTCATCCAGCACTGTACGGAGATTAAGAAAGAAGGTTGGCTGGGTGAAGAGTGGAAAAGACTACTGCCAGCTTGTGAGGATTGTCAGCCGTCTGAAAAGAGTAAACTGGTGTTGGGAGGCCCTGGCAGTTGAAGACAAATTTGAGGACATTGTGTTTCCTGGTAATTAATAACAAAAATCTACAGATCTGCATTCAAAATACAACATGTATTGTTGATTACGTGCATACGTTTCAGATCTTTTGTTCTGCTCACTTTGTAAATCCATATATATATATATAAGCACCGTTGTTGAAAAGATATATGTACAAACATTTAGAATAAGTTCAAAGTAATAAGTGTCTTGTATTATATTATTTTAATTATACTATTTGCTCATTTACTTCAGATGAGCGGACAGTGGAAATGGACTGAAACTGCTGACATATTTTCCAGAAAGTGATAAGAGATGAAAACTGAAACAACATTAGCCTGCCACGCCCACTGCACAGCAGACCTGAGCACCCGTACAAGAACCATGTATGGGCAGGTTAGACACTACAGTGGAATATTAATACTGATGTGAAAAATATGTTAACTTCACTTGGAGAAATGTGATGAATTAAAATTTACCGAGTGTTTTAATAGTATGAAATCCAAATAGCCAGGACTGTGAGAACTAGGCCTTTAATATAAGAGTACGTGTACATGTAAACTAATGGACTGATATTATATTATCTATTTCAAGCATTCCGCAAAAAGGGGCAACACTAATAGTTACATTCACTGGCACAATGAACAGCAAAGTGCACCAGGGCATTCTTCATGATTGAAGATTCCACTTCTGCAAGAAAGAAAGGTAATTAAGCAGCAATCAGCAATTTAAAAAAAAGAGGCAATCAGTATTATCGTATATAAATACGTACATTGTCAATGTTTGTTCATCAACTGTAAGTACGTACTGAAAAAAGTTAAACTTAGGTATCTCTTCTGAATTAACTACAGCTATTCTCTTGGGGCACAGGTTCCAACATTTTTTT